ATTTAACTATTAAATTGATTACATGACATGCACAACATTAGTGGAAAATAGTATCGTCACCGAATAGACTTAAATCATTTTCAAAAAATTCAATTACTTTTGTATTGGCACTAACATTATCTTATATTATAGCCATTACTTTATCTCTTAATCTAAATTCATCAATTACATTTAAAATTGTGTTATATATTAAATCTATGTAATCCAATCCTAGAACACATTTAAAACCTAATATTCTCTTACCTAAATCAAATCCTTTAAAGTAATGTCTAGTTACAGCTAAATAATCTTTATTGGCAACGGCAGACCAAATATCTGCTGTTAACGCAACGCACCCGCTAGGGCAGACCAAATATTTGCCGTTAACGCAACGCACCCGCTAGTCGATTTTTTAAATAATTTTAATAAATCTTTCCTAAGAGTAGTTTTTGAAGTGAACTGTGTATTATGATTGTGTACAATCTTAATATATCGTTGCCAATTAGGATGCTCTACAAAACTAAGTGGTTGATCTAAAGCAGCTATCATTCGCGCAACTTCCATACGATCTTCTTGCGGATCGTATTTCCAAGTGGTTAGACCACCGGTTGCGCGATCAAAAGATAATTGTGTTTGGCGGAGTTCGGGTCCGCTAGATTGGCTAAGCTTTTGAAGACACTTTTTGGAGTGTCGTCTCAAGTGTGTGGTGCCGTGAATAGTGTCACCTTGTAATTTAGATAAATAATATTTATACTGAGCTATATGTTTAGTGTTACCTTCATTATCCACCTCGTCAATTATGTCGAAGTGATCCCAAACTGTCGAGGTACGCTTGCATTTCCTGCTAGAGGTTGCAACACTTGCCGACGCAGACACATACGCAGTCGCACTCGCCGCCGCTTCTCCACGCCCACTATTGCGACCACGACCTCCAGTACGTCCACCATGGCTTGGATTAGTAGATTGCATTTGCTGCGTAACAAACTCATTAGTGGGAAATTGCCCTTCTTCTACATTGTGTTGGGCATCAACGGGAATACCACTATAACCAAAAGGATCCATTATAAAAAAAAATAAGATGAATTTGATAGAGAGAGAGCTTTAGAAAAATTGTGAGAGAGATTGAGAGAGATTGAGAGAAATTGAGAGAGATTGAGAGGGATTGAGAGAGTTTGAGTGAGAAAAATGTGTGAGGGATGGGGAGTATTTATAGGGAAATTTTAGGGATAAAAAATGTTTTTTTTTTTCAAAAAAAAAGGGATAAAACGGTTAGTTTTTTGAAATTCGGGTTTCGGGCAAACTCGGGCAGCTCGGGTTTTCGGGCAAAATTCAAAAAACTAGTTGTTTTCAGGCAATTCAGGCAACTCGGGCAACTTGGGTTTTCGGGCAGAATTCTGGTAAAAATTCAAAAAACTAGCCGTTTTCGGGCAATTCAGGCAACTCGGGCACCTCGGGTTTTCGGGCAAAATTCAAAAAACTAGCCGTTTTCGGGTATTCGGGCAATTCGGGCACCTCGGGCGGGTCGGGCAATTCGGGCAGGCGGGCAAAATTCGGGCAAAATTCAAAAAAATTCAAAAATTTGGGCTTCAGGTCGGGCAATTCGGGCACACCCAATTTTCGGGTCGGGCAGTTCGGGCATGGTCGGAAAAATTCAAAAAAATTCCGGCGGACGGTGGTATACGATGGTTAGACGGCGACGGACAAGAATAGACATGTCAAATTCGGACTGCCCAAACTCGAACCCGAATTTCTTGCTTGGACGGGCGGAAATTGAGCCTGCCCGCCCGAGCCCAAAAAAATTCGGGCTTCGGGCCTTCGCAAAATAACCCCATTGATTAAAAATAATAATAATAATGATAAAAGTAAATAAAATTTGTTAGAACAAAACCAAAAGCACTCGTAGGTGACGGCGTCCCGGTAGTTGGAGATCGTCCCAATCCGCATTCTTTCCGCCGAATCCGACAGATTCTTTTCTTTTTGACGGACCAAACTTGGGCGCATAACACATCGTGCGCATCTGCAAATAGATTGAGTTGTTCTGCTATCTTGCGCTGGACACATTACCTGGAGTGAACTCGGATGCCATTGGAGGAGCTCTAGAAGCTCGAAAGAGGGAGAGAGGGCCATGGGGGATCTCTATGAGTGGCTCATCTCCTTCTTCTTTCTCATTGCTTTACTCATCCTCATCGTTTACCAGGTCTATCCCTAAACCCACCATTTTTTCTTTCCTTAACACGCCATCAATTCCTCTGAAAACTCAAAAAAAAAAAAAAAGTTTCTTCTTTTTGTTTTTTGGAGGAATTAATTATGCGATTTTTTATATTGGGTATGCTGTACCTTTTGGTTTTTTTCCCCCCTTTTTGTGGACTTTAATATCATGATTTCTAAGGAGGGTTAGGAAAGTTCTGTCTTGATAAGGATATGATATGCTTTTTTTTTCCCCCCTTCCCCCTCTCTTTTTTTTATCAAGTATGAGAAGCCTTTAGTTTTGTTTCCAAAATCAAGAAAACAAGAAAAATGAACTAACTTCCAAGCTGGTAAACCAGAAGGATTCTTCTGTTCGGTGCTTGAATTGAAATGAAATTGTGTTTTACAATGAGAAAGATGCCATCTTTGCGGGAAAATCTCATCAAATTTATGGTCATTTTGTTTTTCTTGGTTTTAATGACTTGGACAAGTTTATTTACTCTTGGTTTAATGTGTTTCAAATTATGCTTACTTATTTTTTCTCTTGTGAAGGAAAGATTATTACTTTTTTCTTCTTTACATTTCCAATCCTATCTCAAATAAAATTCTGCAGTAATACAATATAGAATTGCTTACATTCGTTGTTTTTCAGTGCTTCTCAGTCTTTTATGTTGAGTTTTAGTTTTAGTTGGAAAATGAAGACATAACTCATAAGTATTTGAGGACAGTTATTACCAAATTGATTTGAAATTTCTAGGACTATGATACAGATCCGTATCTTGAGTGAAAAACAAAAGATAAATTAAGTTCATTCCAGGTTCACGCGTTCAAGTTAATGATTTATGAAAACTTTTTTTATTTAAATTTTATTGTGAGAAAAAAATACTGTAACATATTAGAATCACGAATTCAAATAAAAGAACCAAACGGGCCTGAATTTTGGAGGAACTCAACCTCCCGAAAGCATAATGATAAAATGGCCATAATATGTATTTTCTTCCTACAATTTCATTGTCTTAAACTCCTTAAATAGAGTACAAGATAATTACAATTTAAAATCTAAAAATATAATTAAAAGCGGCCACTAATACACGTTCTCATCCCTCAGCCACCTAGAAACTCCACTACCTAGAAAATTGGAACAACTCCATCATTTATCTAAAATTCTAATCTGAACATGTTGACTAATTCAGAATAAAAGGGAAACAACCAACGTATATACTAGAAAGTTGAAAACTAACTAAACATAAAATTCTAATATTTTGGTATGTAACATACTAGATGTGTATCTATGCAACAAAACTTGACCTTAAGTTACTTAGGATGTTTATTTTGTTCCACCATTTAGTCAGAAGGTTTCTGGTATCGCCTTTTAATTGCTCGACTATAGTAGGTTTGAACTGGATCGTTTTGGTTGTAATTGAGAAAGTAATTATGCACTACCAGCAACAATCTGTATGTTAAATAAGCTGCTATCGAGCTTTTTCACGGGACTTGGGTTTGATGAAATATACTAATATTTCTGATATTTTTTGCTACTATTTAAGGAATATGGGAGAGGAAATTTAACTCTACTAAAACTTTGTTGCAGCTCATGTCCCTGGCTGATTTGGAATTTGACTATATCAACCCCTACGACTCTTCAATCCGGATAAATAGAGTGATTTTGCCGGAGTACATTACACAAGGAGTCTTGTGTGTCTTTTTCCTTCTAATGGGGCATTGGTTTATGTCGCTGTTGTGCGTTCCATACCTCTATTACAATGTGAGACTGTAAGTTTTCTTTAGTCACATATGCTGTTATGGCTTTGTGGTGTCTTGATGTTCGGAAGCTAAGAGCTAATTGTTTGTATTTGGCTAAAAGTCTCTTTTTGGTTGTTCTGAATATGAATTAGTTATTCGCGGAAGCAGCACCTCATAGATGTGACTGAGATATTCAACTTGCTCGATAAAGAGAAGAAGCAACGGCTATTCAAACTCTTTTATCTCGTCTTCCTGCTGTTTCTTTGCATATTTTGGTATGTCAACTTGACTTAGGTCTTGTTTGGTAGGAAGAAAAAGTAGAAGGAGCGATAAGGATGGGAGGATTAGAGAATTGATTTTAAGTAGAGTTTGGTAAGAGGGGATTATTGTAGAGGATATATATTTGCAAGTGATTCAAAATCCTCCATAGGACTCCAGTTTTGATTTAGAAGACTTTCAGTTCGTTTCTTTTCTCTCTATTTTTCTCAGCTAAGTTACGTGTGCTTTCTTCATTCCTGTTTTCGTTCCCTCTTACCGAACACGGTCAAGAGAAAGCCGATTGCTTTTGTAAAAACCGTATTCCCCATGGTGACTTTGGTGATGCTAACTTTCTTACATGATGTGTTGCAGGATGATCCTAACAGCATTAGAAGATCATGATGATGAGTAAAGGGGACACAATTGGTTCAACGGCCTAAATTATTTGCCTGGTGCATAAGAGTAGCTACTAATAAATTGCTATCCTTTTCCACCAAATGTTCCTTTGTAATTTGATGTTAGCTTGTGGGAATTAGTTGTGAATTTGTAAGTCCATTTTCTAAGGTGTGAAAATTTGTGGCATTTTGCAAGCTTTTTGTCATAAATGCAGATGCTACTAGGGAGCTTCTGGATTGTGTGTTCCTTGGCTTTGGCAAGTTCCATGATCATATAATATTGTGGTGATAATTTTGTTAAGTTAAATTGAAATAAACAAACATGTTTGTTTTGTTCAAACAAAAAGGAAGTTTTTTTTTTAATTTTTTTTTTGGCACTGTAAATTTTTATTTTACTGAGTAATAAATGCACACTTTTAAAAGATTTGATATTAACTTTATCTTTAACTTTTTCATACATAAATTTTTATTTTCTTGATCTAATTTTGATCAATATTGATTAATGTTACAGAAATTTTGAGTTTCCACTATGATTTACTACAAAACTATGGCTTGTTCTTTTGAGTGAAAAATTCAAAAAAATGCAACTCGAGTTACAATTTTATTCGAGTTCATGTTTTTTTAAGTTTAAACTCGAGTTTGAACTCGAATTTAGGACTAAAACTCGAGTTCAAGTTTCTCCTTCAACTCAAGTTCAGAAACTCGAACTCAAATTAATGAACAGTATTTTTTCTATTCTTAAAAATGTTATAACTTTGACGTTTTAATTCTGATTGAGATGATTTTTTTTTATGCGTTGACAATGAAAAAACGAATAAAACCCAACCCATATACCCTATTAAAATTTTTCATCAGCATTGAGTTTTTATTAAAATACTATCTAAATACAAATTCAAGTTTTGACTCACTCAAACACAAACTCAAAAAGATTCTTATCTCAAACCATAACTCAAATGTACACAACCAAACACAAACTCAAGTTACAAGTTCAACTCAAATTATAACTTAAATTTAACTCAAAAATTATACTCAAGTTAAACTCTAAAAGAACAAGCTCAATTTTTAACATACAAAAGGGAATGAGCCACTCAATCTCAAAGAAAAATAATAAATTGCTTATACGAACGTCAAAAGAAAAATAATTTTTTGTTTGCAAAAGAAAAATAATTTTTTGTTTGCAAAAAAAAAAAAAAAAAAAACTGTTTTCATTATTTTTTTAATTTTTTTTTTTAAAAAGAGAATTTCTTGTCAAGGTACAACAAAAGTTTTTTGTTTTTGGAAGAAGAAACTACAGAATTATTTTTGGTCTACCTTTTAGAATAAATTGCTTTTACAAATATTGGAGAATTCTTTTTGTTTGCAAAAATAATAATAATAACAATAATAACTGCTTTTATTTCCATAAAAAGTAACTTCTTTTGTTATTATTTAAAACGTTTTTTAAAAAAGGATAACTTCTTAATAAGGTATAAACTTCTGTTAAATTATATCTTAAAAAAAAAATTTATATGGTTATTTAACTTGAAAAAAAATTAGTAAGAAAAGAAAAAGAAAAAATGAAAATAATAAGTGAAAAAATACCAGTTAAGTGGTGGAAAAAGTGCTCGCAGAAGAAAACACAGAGATCGGCGACGGCGATTGGTTTCCACAGGTATTACCTCCTCTTTCTTCTAATTATATGTTATTCAATCCTCAATTTAATCACTTTGGTGATTTTTTTCTTCGAAAACCATTATTATCTATTTTCTCGAAGATTTGATGCATTAATTTATGGGTTCGTTTCAAACTTTTCAATGGTGTTTTAGCCAGAAGGAATTAGTCTATTTTGGCTCATGAAATATGAAGATTCCATGGCTCCGTTTGGAAACAAAATTCAAATTTACACTTTTTGTGTTTAATGAATAGCTGTTTTGTAGCTTAGTTTTTAGACAACAGTTCTCCTCTTCTTCTACACAGATTACAGTCTCTTCTTCATCATCTTTGTCATTGTTCCGCTTTGAATCCTTGAAGGACTAAGATTTGCTTGATTTATCAACCGAAATGCTGGTTCGGAAAATCAAATCCTTGCTTAAAAACAATTCTCTCACTCTTGACCAGCTAAAACAAGTTCACTCACCAATCATCACAAATGGTTTTTGCCAACTTGAGACCCTTTTCTTGCGTCAAATTCTACTCTCAACCAGTGGGAATTCCAGAGTTATTGCCCAACACATCTATGGAACCCTGTTCCACATGCAAAACCCAGATGCCTTGTCGTGGGGTTTCGCCGTTCGGTTTTTCTCCGCGAACGGGCAATTCAAAACCGCATTTTCCCTTTACGTTCACTTGCAGAGACTAGGACTCTGTCCGAGTTCATTTGCCTTTTCCTCTTCTCTGAAGGCTTGTGCGAGGATCGGGCATAAGTTGGGCGGTCTTTCGGTTCATGCCCAGGTTTATAAATATGGGGTTTGTGGCTCTGTTTATGTACAGACTGCCCTGCTGGATTTATATTCGAAAGTGGGTGACGTGAAGAGTGCACAGAAACTGTTCGACGAAATGCCTGAGAGGAATGTGGTTTCGTGGAATTCTATGTTGTCTGGATATTTGAGTTCTGGGGATTTGGAAATGGCTAAGAGGGTGTTTGATGAGATTCCGAAGAAGGATGTCGTTTCGTGGAATTGTATGATAACAGGGTATGCAAAAATAGGAAATATGGATGAGGCGATTCTTTTGTTTGAACTTATGCCTGAAAGAAATTTGGCGTCCTGGAATGCGGTGATAAGCGGATATGTGAATTCTGGGAATGTGGAATCAGCGAGAAGAGTTTTTGATGCAATGCCTATGAGAAATAATGTCTCTTGGATTACAATGATTTCTGGGTATTCAAAGTGTGGAGATGTTTTGTCTGCTCGTTTACTTTTTGACCAGATGAATGATAAAGAAATGCTTGTGTACAATGCGATGATAGCTTGCTATGAACGAAATAACCAACCAAAAGAGGCTATTGAGCTGTTCAATCAGATGCTTAAACCGGGTGTTAATATTCAGCCAGATGAGATGACTTTGACTAGTGTTATATCCGCTTGTTCACAACTTGGGTATATGGATTTTGGGCTCTGGATTGAGTCATACATGAAGCTGCATGGAATTCAAATGGATGATCATTTGGCAAATGCTTTCATTGACTTGTACGCAAAGTCAGGATACATTGACAAAGCACTTGAACTATTTCGCGGCTTGAAAAATAAGGATTTAGTTTCTTATTCTGCAATGATCTCTGGATGTGGTGTAAATGGTAAGGCAGTTGATGCAATCAAATTGTTTGAAGAGATGTTGAATGACGGTATTTGCCCAAATCTTGTGACTTACAAGGGTCTACTAACTGCCTATAACCATGCTGGTTTAGTTGAAGAAGGGTACAAGTGTTTTAACTCCATGAAGGACCAAGGGTTGTTGCCTTCAGTAGATCATTATGGAACCATGGTTGATCTTTTAGGCAGGGCAGGAAGATTGGAAGAAGCACATGAGCTGATAAAGAGCATGCCAATGCAGCCTCATGCCGGTGTTTGGGGTGCTTTGCTTCTTGCTTGTAGGGTTCATAACAATGTTGACCTTGGGGAGATTGCTGCCAGGAATTGCTTTGATTTGCAGCCTGGAAAGACTGGTTATAGTTCTCTCCTCGCCAACATCTACGCCTCCGTTGAGAGGTGGGACGACGCCGGTAGATTGAGAGGTGCTGTGGAGGAAAAAGGACTCACCAAGATACCTGGATGTAGCTGGATGGAATCAGTTTGAAGTTTTTTCAATAGGAAGATCAGGCTTATAGATCACAGCCAAACGGTTTTGGTTTTGGCACAGACACGGTGAATTGGTATTTCGGGTTCCAATTTTCCTTCAATGTTGTTAAGTGTGTCTTTGCATCACATCATGAATAAGGAGTGAAGCAAAAGTGAGACCCTGTTTCAAGTTGGAAATGTGTATGGGCCATTACGCCCATTAGTAAGGTTGGTTCTTGTAAAGAATGACGGAAGGATGCTTCATAAATAAGGGGAAATAAAAGAGAGGAAAAGTTACTCTTTCAAGAGAGATAATACATTTGTTTCCTTAAAATGGTTCCTTTTGGAAATAAAATATGTGGATAACTATATGTTGCTTGCTGTTTTTCCAATTCTTCTTTTCACATTAGTCAGAATTTTACTTCTTGTTCTTATTAAAAAAAAAATTGCCTTTGGCGCTTGAAAATAGAAATCACATGTTTGATATTTGTGTCGTTTGTTGGACAAAAAGTTGTTTTCTTTTGCATGTAAGACATTTGTGGTGGTGATTTTAAGAAGGGTGGTCTTCTCACCTCGTGGATGTTTTCTTCTTCTTGCAGTTCAAATTCTGAAGATTCCCAATAGGACGATATGGTCAATGCAACCAAAGGACTGTGCATCACCTGGTAAACTACTTATTCCAACTTTCAGCATTTCTAGCCATGTATTTGCTTGCCTTAAAAGAATGTGCTTTATCTGATTTGCGCATGAGATTCTGGTTCTCCAACTCTCTGGCTCCTCAATTTGGGACAATTTCAACTTAAGTTGCTCGAAACAATCTTTACTTGTTGGAGAATTTTTTGGTAGGGTACTGGGAAATAAAATAAAAATAAAAAAATACTGCTCTACCAGTAGTAGTACTACACTGCTCTGGACCGTTGTATCTTTTCCGGTTTTGTTAAATTTGCATATTTTTTAGTTATATATAATTCTGATGTGATCTGGAGCTTATATCCTACCAATATAGTTCTCCTTATTCATGTTGTGTGTTATTCACTATAGCAATTTTTTTAATTGAAAGTGGTTTTAGAGCTTGTAGTTTATGTATTATCAGCAAGAGTCCCAAACCCCAAGTAGATATGTGCATAGCTATTAGTTTGTCCGGTTGGATTGTGATTGTGGACAATTCTGGTTCGAAATGGAGAATTTTGTCGTGGTACATCATTTTCGAATCTAAGATCACATCGGAATCATGTTGCGGCAGAAGATGAATGAAAATTTAACCAAACGTGACGAGAATCTGAGTGTTCAAATTAATTAAGTCCTTTTTCTTAACCCTATCAAAGAATTCTCTCTCCTCACCCTCCAAGCGGGGGGGGGGGGGGGGGGGGGGAGTCCTCTTTCCTTTCTAATGGAATAGTTGGTATGTGAGATGCTATTTTGAGTTGAGCTGCTTTATTTTGTCCCTCAAATTCTTCTTCTCTTTTGTTCTGATCCGAAAGACGTTTGCTTCTAATCTTCTTTTTTGCAGTGACATACCAATGGCACAATTCATAATCAACATGAACAATTCGCTGCCTGCGTCGCAGAAATTCATAATACACGTTTTGGATAGCACCCATTTGTTTGTGCAACCCAATGCGGCTGAGATGATACGAGGTGCCATTGCAGAGTTTAGAGACCGAAATTCCTATGAGAAGCCTGCTTAAATAGTTTCATTTGTTCCCCCAATCTTCATTTACATTAGTATTTTCTTTCCAAATTCTAGCGGACCATACTTTTCTGTTGTGAAATATAACTCCTTTATCTGATCTAGTTACTTGCTTTCTTGATACGTCAATAACATGAGAGTGAGCGGTCTTTTTGCAACAATCTCATGAACACAAATTGGATTGCCATTTTGTTTTACCATATCTATTTCCGGATTTGACAAACACTTGTATACCCCCTTTCTACTTAACTACTTAACTGGGGATGGTGGTGGCGACGGGGATGGTTTTAGGGGGTGGGGATGGGGGCAGGAAATTATCCCCACCCCCATCCATCCCGATCCCATTGCCATCCCTACATGTCCGGCAAAGTCCAAACTTGTCTAGAAGTGCTTGCAAATGAGATCACAAATCTTAAGTTATTGTTGCTTTTGCATGACAATTTTGTTTTACATCATCATGTTTATTTTTTTTCTCTAAGAAAAAATAAAAATCGTAAAAAAAAAAAAAGAGCATACGAGTCATATTCTTTTTTTTTTTTCTCTTCAGTGAAGAACATTGCTACAATGCTATTTACCATCACTAATTAGTACTCGATATAAAGGTATCGAATTATAGATCCATTTGTATTAGTAGTTATAACAATAAAATTGTACTAAAATAAAAATTTAATAGACCTTAATAGAAATCTTCTAATTGAGAGCTAGATATAAAATAAAAAAAATTTTGAATTCAAAGTTTTTGTGATATAAAAAATATTATTAAAGAATCAAGTATAAAAACTAAACGCGCAATAGAAATTGTTTAGAATTTTCATTGTAACGAGATCGTCCAAACAAAGCCCTGCAAACAAGTTCACCGAGTGCGGTCCTTTCCTTAACGAAGCTCATTCCATCATATATCAATATCACGCCCGTTCATTTCCACCGTTCTAAGTCTCCAACGGCACAGATTAGTTCTATGCAAAAAGCTAATATAGTACCGCTTCTATCTGAATCCCCCTCATCTTCTTCTATACAGACTCTACTTCCTCGATCTTCATCATCTTCATCGTCATCGTCGTTTGCGTAGTGTTTACCCAGAAATTGGTGGGAAAGAGAACCATGGCCGTCTCTTTCCAAACAACTGCTTCTTCTCCCACAATTCATCCCCAACCTAGACTCTCTCACCCTCCTCCCAGGTTCTCTCTCTCTCTCTCTCTCTCTCTCTCTCTCTCTCTCTCTCTCTCTCTCTCTCTCCATTTTTCTTTAACTGCGAGGTCTCAAAATAGTCATTGTTTATGGCAGTTGTGCTACGAAGCTTTATTCGGGCTTAAAGCTTCAATCTTCAGGTATGCTTTCTACTCGCTTTCCTTGCTCTTATATGTTTTTGTATTATTAGTTAATTCATATTTTATCTCCGTTTCTTATCATTTTCCATTTTTTTAATGAAGGAGTTTTTGGAGCCGGAAAACCTAACTTGACGGCTGAGTTCTACAGAAAAGTGCATAAGAGTCTTCAGCCTAGGTAATTTGTTGTACAAGCTTGTCTATTTTTTGCCAAATTTGCTTTTGGAATTTCATGGGCTGGTTCCAAAGTTTTGCTTTTTGAATCATTAGAAAATATGTATTTTTCAAGCATATTGTAGCTTTGGAAGTGTGATTAAAAAATGCTTTTTTTCCCGTATTTAGTTATGCTAAAACAATTGAATGTTAAAATGGGTTTTCATTTTCATTCTTTTTGACGACCTAAGTAGGCTTTTGGATTATTGGCTTGACATTGTAGCGAAGGAAAGGGATAATCTTGAGCTGATTTCGTTCCTTATTTTACCCGTTTCTCTTGGATAACTTTTAGTCATTTAGTTTCGGTTTTAAGCAGAATGTGGACGCAATCTCATATTGCCGTAGTGCTCTGACAAATGAAGAATGTGTCATTTCTTTGCGAGGAAAAATCCGTCTTTGCAAGTTATTTCATTTTTGTAAATCAGTGTGTTGCTCTCAGGAATGATAGCTATTGGTTCTTGTAGGACCCGAAACCATAAAGCAACAAGAGCACAAGTTGGAATGATGCCTATTGGGACACCAAGGGTTCCCTATAGAACTCCTGGTGAAGGATCTTGGCAATGGGTTGACTTGTGGAATGCCCTGGTACGTTTTTAGCTCTATTTCTCTGTGAGCCGACATTAAGGTTTTTCTTTTCTGCAGTTTTTTCAAACTGATTGAGATTATATCCTCTAAGCAATACACTGAATTTTGAGAATGCAGTATAGAGAACGTGTCATCTTCCTTGGGCAAAACATAGATGAAGAATTTAGCAACCAAATTCTAGCGACCATGCTGTACCTTGACAGTGTTGATAACAAAAGGCTCTATTTGTATATAAATGGTCCCGGTGGAGATGTGAGTTCCTCGTAAATTTCTAAATTATACCTGTTAAAATGGAATCGGTCTCCGTTTTTCTTGATTTTCTGCTAAAACTTCCGCTGCTTGTAGCTTACTCCAAGTATGGCTATCTATGACACCATGCAAAGCTTGAAGAGTCCTGTTTGCACGCATTGTGTGGGTTATGCCTACAATCTAGCGGCCTTTCTCCTTGCAGCTGGAGAAAAGGTAATATATCTTGCTTGTAAGTTCATCTTAATAAAATCCTTAACAATATTGCCTTACATGAGGTATTAGTAATTTAGTAGTGGCAGATCCAGGAAATTTTTCAGTGGGTTCACAATACAGAAAATATATAAAAATAACTTTTTTATTGATTGGGGAGATAGTTTTAAGTTTCTATTATTGATTGTGTCCGGCACAATTATACTTTAATGAGGGAGGAATTCAAATTTTACATAGAGTTTATGTATACAAAATAAAAATCTTAAAATCTTAGTGGGGTCATGTGCCTCTACTCAGATGCATGTGGTTCTTCCACTGGTTATTAGAGTTTATAGAGCTAATGAATGCTAGAATGTTTAGTACTTGGGAAGTGAGACCTACAATTTGTGTGCTTGGCTAATTGAAGTTTGATTAAGGACTAATGCTACAGCTTAGCGGATTTTATACATCCCCTCCTCCATGACACCACATTCGGTGGGACTAGCCCTCATAAGTCAGGAATTTATGGAGTGATGGTGACGATAGTATTTCTATTACAATCGCATAGGCTTCTTTCGAATATGTAGTTTAGCAACCTCGGTGAATTTATGCATTGTTTGATTCAACTTTTTTGTGGGCTTTAAATTCATGTACACTATGTCAATTACATTTTCTTTTTCTGCTTTGTTAAGGCTAATCGGTATGCGATGCCTCTATCAAGGATATCATTGCAATCTCCTGCGGGAGCTGCTCGTGGTCAGGTAGTAATCTATGTAAATAATACTGTAAAAGGCTACCATATATACATTTTTATGTTTGCTAATTTTGGTCCTTGGCATGCTCACTATATTTGTATGACAGGCTGATGACATTCAGAATGAAGCAAATGAACTTCTAAGAATTAAAGATTACCTTTTTAATGAGTTGGCTAAGAAAACAGGCCAGCCAGTTGAGAAGGTTAGTTCAACGAATTGATCAAAGATTGATATCCTATTTGTCATTGAGGGCTCTGAATATGGATTCCATTTTGTGCTATTTATGTTTCAGATTTTTTCTATTTCTTGATTTGATGACTATTAGCAACTTCTGAGAACAATTATTATTTGCATATTGTTTTTGCAATGTGATTGTGCAGATTAACAAAGACTTGAGTCGGGTGAAGCGCTTTAATGCTCAGGAGGCTCTTGAATATGGACTGATTGATCGCATCGTCAGGCCTCCTCGCATTAAGGCTGACGCACCACGCAAAGATGCAGGAACAGGTCTTGGTTAGTGAATTTGTTGCTCACCTTCCAGATTTTCTGATACCAGGTGTAGGGTTGAGAATGCTTCCGAAGTTTATTTTGTGCTTCTGTAATTGGCTATAATCTTGTTGTTAGAAACCGTTGCATAGAAAGTTGTCTGTTTTTTTACATTTAAATCACACTTATATAAAGGATTTTTTTTTTTTTTTTGGGGGGGGGGGGGGGGGGGGTACTACAAAACTTGTATGATGGAGTTTGGAAAGCATTATTATTATTATTACTACATGTGGCTTATTTGGATAAAAACGACATCCACAAACGCTGTGTTGTGTAATTCGGGGGAAAATACGAGTGGTCGTTTTTCCTTTTTAATCACATAGAAGGACGACATTTTTAAGTAGTGAAAATGAATGTCGTTTGGGTGATGTTGCTTTCTGAAACGACACGTATTTTGTTCAAAGTGACTGAACTACGTCTTTTTTTTCGATGTCGTTTTTAGAATATGTCGGCTTGCTCGATGTCGTTTTTCAAGTGTAAAATGTACCTCGTTTCCGTGAATTTCGCTTTCTAAACATGTTTCTTCAAACGTTCTTTAAAGATGTCGCTTGGATGCTTCTCTTTCTCAAAATAATATAAAATAAAGGTGCCATTGGGAGATAAACGGCATGTGGTTTATTTCAATGTTTATTTCAATTGATAATGAAAACGACATGTAGTTTATTCTGAATGTCGTTTTTGTTTTTAGTCTGAAGCGAAAAACGACATCCTGCATATATCCGTTAGGTTCTGATCTTTGATTTGATCTCCTTAAGAAAACGGACAGAGCTTGACTTTTACTTTTATTTACTCCAAACTATTTTTTTACAGATTCAGTTCTATTTCATTTTGACTTGACTTCTCTGCGGCACATGTATAACTGGGTTCCACAAAATTCTCATTCAGTCTAGACCACTCAAATATTTCATGGATCATTCCATGAAATATTCATATTAATGACAGATCACCCCCTAGATTCGCGGTTTCACTTCTTTATACATTTTCAACTCATAATCAAATTTTGTTTAGAAACATTATTTGTACGTCATAGTAAAATGACAGCTTTCTTAAAATACTAAAATCTTTTGTGCTCTTGTCATTGACCTCGTTTTCCGCTTAGTAAACTGTACAATAATTTACTGTAGCCAGTCGGGTCAAATAGATTAATGTTACAGGGCATTCAGTAACACCACCCATTAATAGAAAGTAAATCTCGTAAAATAAACCCACAAATATGATCTATTTTTTATTAGTGGTGTTGTTAATTAAGCACTAGTGATGCCTCCGAGCATTTTCTCGGTCAAATAAGTTAGTGTTCTTATTTCTTCTCAAACACAACATGAGAGGGCGACTCTTCATCCGAATTGTTTAATTGTACTGCCCTTTGACTTTCTTTGTCTTGATGATGATTATGCTGAGTTATTGTCTTGATGTTGAGATCATCTGACTTAAAAGCTGTAATTGTCATGCTCTTACCCTCACATGACAACTTAAAGCAAAACAATTTCTTTGGTCTGTGCTACTAATGTTGCAAAAGAAACGTTCTTGAGAATATTTACATGTTGAGTATGACATATTTCACAAGTCTTGATAGGATATTGATTAAATTGGAGGCAATCGTGGGTGACTGACAAACTACTAATTTCTATCTTTTATGTGGGCAATTGAGATTTAATCTCAGAAATTTCACTTAGGCTGAATTTAAAGCAACCTAATAAAAGCATTTTAGAAGAGAGAGATTTGCGAATACCAAAAAAACAAACTTTCAAATCACAATGATCGAGTCCAAAGAAAACGAAAGATTCAGATGTCGAATATTACACCAAACTAATCTAATTTTACATGACACCACCAACAACAATAACAACAACAGCCGAAACCTACCTAAACAGCTAATAGAAATATAACCTCTCAAGGTAAACTAAAAGGGATTAAACGACGGCTTGAAAACGACATGCTGGTACTACATGTCAGTAAGTTTTACAGACGAATAAACAACGGAAGTGAGATCCAAGGGTTGAAGTTTGGTTGCCAATGCGGTCAGTGAAACAAACTTCGTACTGCAACTACAGGAACCGGTTCTCTAGGTCACCCTCCAGGCAAAGACACATTGATGTCGGTCGACTTGCTCTTTGAATCTGCGGGCAAGGGAGACCAACTCTCCGCGCGGAAGGAACCCGAGAGGTTTACTTTTGGAGCAGCACTTGATATAGGAATGGCCGCGGTTGGCGTCACACTTGTGATGTATTCATGCTTATGTTTCTTTTGCTTTTGCTCGTGCTGATTCCCAGCCAAAAAACTGCCTACTACAACCTATGACAAGACCAACAAAATAATGTTGAAAAGTCGTGTTTGCTCGTATTCTGATGGCACTTAATCAGTTGCAATGTTATTATTTAAGATCAAACTACAGGTCAGGGCTAAATGTAGAGATCTCAGAACTATAAACAAATTCCCGTGATGTTAAAAGAAATCATAACAGAAAAAAGCCAAACCTGCACAGGACTTGCAGCAACTAATAGCCCAGCAACTCCACCTCCAACGACACGCCCATCTGGACTTGCCAAAGAGACGCTCATCCCACCAGATCTGCTTCTTGTTCCGCCCGTTTCGTTGGGCATGAATGAACCAGACAAGGAAAGTATTTCAAAACGGCCCTGCAAGAACATGAGTATAAACAACGGAGTCAAATTTATAGCAGAAAATTTAATTACTTTCGTTCTAAAACAGAAAAGGGAATCACGGTTGGGTGGCGGAAGATTTTTTGAAAGCTTTCATGCGTGAATTGAATCGTGAATATCAGCTAATCACTTTGGAAAGTTCAATGTAAAATAATGGTTTTGCAGGATAAGCATGCTTGTAATTCAACTCTTGTGTACAAGCTGTAGAGAGTTTACAGTGCTAAGGAAAATAGTGGCCTCCTACATAACTAAATGGTCATCGGAGGCGTCGTGGCGTAACAAGTCTAAGGCATGGTAACAATTTTAATAAATTTATTTAATAGGATAATGAAACTATTATCGTCATAACTAATTGTAAGAGCTATTGATAAATCTCTCTACAAAGCTTCAGAATCCACCATTATTGGACCAGGAGAAAAATATCAAAAGAAGGGATACATGGCGTCACCTCGTATGTCAAAGTACCCCCAGAAGAATCAGGCTGACGAAGCGTAACACTTGATATTACACCATTCGCAGAAAGTATGCATATAGCCCGAGGCCCTTGTTGAGAAAATGATATTATCTTCATCGTCACGTCCTAAAACAAGGAGAGAGAATGTTGCCGTCATAATGAGTCATCGTGAATGCTCAAAACAATCAATCAAGTTGGAAGCAAATAACGGAACTTTCAGAAAAAGTTACTAAACTGAAGCTCATCATTTATCAATTTCCTTTCAACCAAGAAATACCATAAACACAAAAGACGAGAGATGAGAGATTTTAAAAGAAATACCTCGCCAGCATTAACAGTGATGATATGTGGTGTAAAATTAGCACCAACAGAGCAAGCAACCCATTCACCTAAACAAATGCTCATAAGATTAGTGACCAGAGGCTGTTCCATTTTAGGACAAGCAAAAACACTACTAATGATTCGGAAGCAATCAATTAATAATATCCAATTTTTCCTTCAAGTTTCAATCATATATCTGACCACTTGCTTTTCTGACAGTTAAAATTTAAATGGCACTATTTTTATGAACCCTCACATTTAGCCCTTGATTCCAGGAAATGACGGAACAATACTTCAAAAAATAGTTAATACAGAACCCTGTTTCTATGTTACTGTTGGCACCTGAGATCAGTAAATTGAAGCAGAAAGTTTTGGTTTGTTGTTGTTTTTCTTTTTCAAAGGCGGCTATGATTCTTCATTTGGAGTACTAAGCTCCGTTAAAAAAAAATAAAATAAAATAAAAATAAAAATAAAAAAACGAGTGAGTTTCCATGATATTTGGAATCACAGCTCGATGCGTTAAAACCGATATTTGAAAGATGTAAACTTTATTCATTGCATTAGACAAAAAACGCAACAATAGATGGATCATCAAGAAGGGAAAAAAGAACATATAAAAGAAAATTTAAATAGATCTGTATGAATTATTTCGCTTATTACTTCTTATTTTATATTAATCAAAATTGTTATATATCTTTCAAACTCCACAGGCTATATCTTCTCTGCTTATGAAGGTTATTATTGCTTAATTCTTCCGTCCATCATCTACAGATTCCATTGAAAATTAGTTCACTAAACTCGATCTAATAAATAAGAGCGAGGTACAAGAAGAGGATAACTAGAAAACTTTTCTGCCAAGTTGGTGAAAAGGAATCATTATACAAGATAACACTAGAAATACCAATAATCTCTAATAAATACAGTCTGATTCCAAGAAACCAAACAAGACAGCATCTCTTCAGGAGTAAACATATTCAACTTTTATTTTCTTCCTTTTGGCAGCAGATCAGATCAGATCAACCAGCAAGTTAAGAAAAAAAGTTTTTTTTTTCTTTTTATCAACTTTCAAGCTTAAACATCAGTTGCAGAAACTTTTTATTTTGCACAGAATTTCCTCACTTCCTAAACTGACCTCTAAAAGGTGAGTGAGATGATAGAATTGCCAAAGGACACTTCACACTAGGACAGGCATACCTAGAAGATTCCATCATTCTTATACCAACCAAACTTAAAAACTCTCTCTCTGTCTCTCACTCACTCATTTATCTTTTCAGAACTACCACACAAACAAACACACACTCCAAGATCTCTCTAACAAGGTTATGTGTATCCAATCAGAGGACCCACAAATCTACCCAACAAGAATCATCCCATAAATGATCAATCCAATCTCCAAAAGGGTTATTATGCTTACAAGCTACTCTCATCAGCCAACCCCCATATAATAGTAACAACATATTATCAATATAAGCCATGAAAACAAGCACAAAACACCTCAAATTCAAAAGGGTGCATGAAAAAAGACACCATTTTTACACTTAAAACTCAAAAGGGTACATAACAAAGGACATGATTTTTTCATTACCTAAATTCTCAAGCTCATACTTGGTCTTGTTAACCGAGCTCGGCGGCCGGGCTTTTCCTCCTCCTCCGCCGCCGCTGCCGCGCTTCTCCGCCGAGAAGTCGATTATGGGAGGCGGCGCCGACGAAGATATGGGCTTGGGAGACAAAGCCATAGCCACAGAGCCGTCTGGCCTGTACTTCCTTGGTCTTCCTCTCTTCTTCTTCACCGGCAAAATCATCGCCGCCGCCGGCGGAACCAAGACGGCCGGTTGAGGAGCTGATCCGGCCGTCTGAACCGGGTTGTCGGACCTCGGAGCGACATGGTAGTCCGAGGGAGCATCTGATCCCACCACTGTAACCCCACTAATACTCACACCTTCTCTTCCCTCCATCGATAAAAACCAAAAAAATAAAAAAAATAAATAAGGTTTCTTTCTTTCTTTTTTTCAAAAAATTTCAACTCTTTGTCAAAAACCCATATTTATTTCCTTAATCTCAGAAACTCAGAAATAAATTAAGGAAAAATGAAAAACAAAACCCAGAAAAGAAAAAACGAAAAAAAAATATGGAGCTTGAGGTGATACTTGATATAGCTTTGTGAAGCTTCTTCTCCTTTAAAGTGTTGAAGAGAACAAAGAAGCTATAAAGAAAGGTTAGTTTTTTTTTGGAGTTTTCAGAGGATTAGTTGATAATATAGAGCTTGGAGAAGAAGATGATGCCTAGAAAATTTTTTCATTGTGAAGAAAAAATTTTCATTTTTTTTTAATAATCAGTTTAGAGAATGGAATGAGATTATTGAAAGAAAGATTTTTTTTTCCTGGGCTCTCTGTAATTTTTTTTTTTTTATTTTGTTGTTTTGAATGGAAAATGGTTAGATAATAATAAGAAACCTTGTTTTTCTTGTTCAGCTAATTGGGTTCCTAACTCTCTTAAGACTATCAGAATTTAGATTAAAAAAATAAATTAAATAAAAATAAAAGGAGAAGAGGAGAAGAGGAGGAAAAAAAATATATTGAATGATGGGCATTAATGAATATTGTTGTGGTGATTTAATATTTTATGTTAAAAATATAGATATTTGGGTTTTGGTTGGAATCTGGTGACTTGTGAGAAATAATATATAAAGTAAAATTGGAAGTGGGTGGGGATTTTCTTATTCTTCTCTAATTTTATATACTTTTTGCTTGAAAATTGGGCAAAAGTGAAATAATGGTAATTATTATTGTTCTTATTTTTGTTATATTTTTTAGGTGAATGGAAAAAGTAAAATTAGGTTGCCAAGGCAAGAAGAAATTGTCTAGAAAAGGGAAAAAGATAGGGTGGCCTAAGGCAAGCATCAACTTTTTGGATTATGGCAAACATAATCTGGCACAAGCAAGATAATAATAAATACCGTCAGCAAATCATAAAAAAAGCCAAGTGAAAATCCCATTTCATTTCATAATTTTGTTTTATTCTTCAACTGTTTTGTGCAATAATATGTAGTAGTCTTGTAAATTACGGTTTTCTCTTAGGAGAATAGGGAAGTGAAGAAAAGCCACCAAAGGAGTTTTGAAGTGCTTGAGGGAGGGTAAGAGCCAAGAAGAAGTAAATAGTGTTGTTCATTTTATTAGCCAACCAAAAAAAAAAAAAAGTGTCGTTCATACTTGGAAAAATATTATATAAATGCATATACATATACATACATACATACATAGAAATAAATAAAAGAATAGTTGCTCTTGCTCATATGGATGATGATGCTAAACCTTGAATGTTACTCCTTAATTTTTTCTTTTAATGATCTCCTCCCTAAAATATTAAGAAGCATATGAGTGCAAACTCATTTGATAAATTGTGTACGTTTTTTATATAATATATTTGTAAACTTTATAAATTAAAGCGTCCATACTTTGTGTAAACTCAACTAGGCGCCACTAAATTTGAGTTTAGTGAAATATAATTTTGAACTCATAACTCATAACACTAGTAAGTTTGGAGAATCTTGATTATATCGATAGAAATAATAAAAAAAAAAAAAAAAAAAAGTAGATGATTCTTATAAACATACAAAATTACCCATGTGAATACACACATGACCATTTTATTTAAAGGAAAGTAATAGTGAGCTTAAATGTAAGTTACTCTTTGCTTGCAATTTACTAGTGGCTTTTTAGTATTTAATCCTTGACCATCATTTCAGTTTTCCCTCCACAAGACAGATGGAGAAGTAGGGTTTGAAGTTTGAACGTTATTCATCAATTGGAAGAAGATTTATTTATTTATTTGGTAGAGGAAGGAGATTTATTTATTAACCATTAAAAGAAGTGGGGAGTTAAAGTAGAAAGTGTTGGCTTGAAGTAGAAGCATACACAAATAAAATAAAATAAAAATTGTTTTGTTTATGCAGGCCTTTCCACAAATAAGCTTCCAAGAGGGCCAAATGGATTAGGCAATTATTCTGATGAATGCTTTGCATGTGATTTTGGAGGCTGCACATGATGTTGTAACCTTTTAACATAATATTATCAGTGTTCTTATCTTTTGAAGTTAAAGGTGTTTAATTTAGAAACAGTCGAATCAGGCACTTTTTTAGCATTAAAATGAGGTTAACTAGTTTTTGTTGTTTTTGGCTCTGAAAGACCAACACCTCTCAAACTTTCTAATCTTATTCGAAGTTTGGACAAGATCTCTTTTAACTGTCCCAAACCTAATTGCTGCAAATTTTGTAAAATAACACTATAGCACCAGTGGTGTTAAGCATCACCCATTAATAAAATGTGGGTCTTATAGCCTGAAACTATCAATATTATATTAGTGATGGTGCTTAACACCGGTGGTGTCCTGCCCCTAAGCACATTTTGTTATTATTAATATTTGTGGTTATTTTGCAATTAAAGCTTAATTTGACTTTATAATCCTTCTTGCTTTTCAAAATATGTCTAAATTACTTGTTTTGAAAATGGCAGGCGTATTGGAATGGAAGTGATCACATTGCAAAGTAGAAAATGGATTTAACTTTGGTAAGGGACCACAACACAAGCATTGACCAAGCAAATGCAATTAAATACAATTACATTATTCACAAGACTAAAGGCATCTTGCATATATATTGGTTTAAATATGTCACCAAAAAACAAGAAAAATTATTAAGAAATTAGGGTTAGATAAGAACAACCTCAATATTCAATTGTTTCTGCCATTTTATAAATATGGTGGCTAGTTCGATGTACCTTAGCTTCCACAACTTTCTTCTTTTCAAAAATTTTAATAATAATAATAATAATAATAATAATAATATTTATAATAATTGAGTAGTGTATATTGGCCTGCAAATAGGGCTTCATCCTCATTTTTCTAATCGATAATGACCTAATTAAGTTGTTAAATTGTAATTCAAGGAAAGCGAAAGATTAAAAAAATAGATAATATTCGACCAATAAATGTTTATGAACAATATTATATAAACAGTAGGAGGGAAAGCCAATACATTTTGCAGATAAGAAATTAACGCTTGAATTTTAGATGAATTGAATTTTAGATGTAAGTGGTGCACTTATTGCACGTCCAAATCAAAAAACAAAGACTAAACAAATTTCATGGGAAAGTAGGATTCAATACTTATGGTAGTACTTTTATATTTTTATGTAAATTTTATATGTACACATATCAATACACCTATATATATACACACACACACACACACACACACTCTCTTTGCTGAAGAGTGGCTCATCAGTTATCAAGAGGATGAATGCCATCCTATGAAAATAAAGTGACCAATGCCAAACAAAAGAGTAAAACGGAAAAGAAAAGTACATAAAGTTGAAGTTATTTTCTTCGAACCAATAAGAAATAAGAAAAATAAAAAGGAAATAAGAAGTTATTTGTTCTAAGAAAGCAAATGATTGGGAGTGTACTACTAGGGTAACCATACCTATAATTACACTTCACTTTTGGAATTTTAAGTCAAGATAAATTGGAATAATCAGTCTAATGGGTTATTCAGATTGGAGATTGATTCTTTTCATGGAGGGTCCAAAATCACATGGCTCTATTTTATCTTTAGATTGTCCTTTTTCTTAGGTTTTTTTTTTTTTTTTTTTTTTTTTTTTTTTTTTTTTTTGCTCTGATTGGTTTAGATTATTCTTTTTCTTAGTTCATTTGATTTCACATTGGTTCCATAAATGTCCTCTACATCCCACAAACCCTTGAAAATAATGGCTGGTTTTTCTAACGTTAATAAATTAGAGAAGGATTTTTTTGGCACTCCATAAATTATGAATTTGATAAATTGTCTTCTGAATTTTAAATTTTAAATTTGTTTGCGTCTGTTAAATTTAAAAGGAAACACCCTCATACATATTATATAACGTGTTTCGTGTTTATTCAAACTTTCACAATTCCTTCGACCAAGCCTATATGATATAATGTAGGAGGGATTTTGTTAAATTATCAACAACCCTCATAGATTTCGAGATCTCTTTACAACACCTTATTAAATTTAGGAAATAATCAAACAAAATTGAAAATTCAGAAAACAACTTACTAATTTGTGAAAACTTTAGGGGGCAAAAGTGTTGGCTGATGTTCCCAATATAATGCTCATGATTAATCATTTGACTCACTTGGAGAAGTACATTCAAGTTAATTCAATAAGATGCTAGGAATTGGATTGTCATTAGTTTTCCCTCTTACTAATCAACATTTTAATTGTTGTTGCTCACTTAAAAAACCCAAGTGACATTGCCTTTTAGTTAATGGAAAGAGTAATTTCATGACTATAACCAATTTTGCTATACAGTGGTTTTTCTTTTTTTTTTTTGCCTTTTTTTTTTTTTTTCGCTTTGGTGTCTCCATTTTGCTGGAAAATCTTACTCCAGAGTTGTCATGCATGTTCTGGAACATAATAATAAAGTTATAATTGGCAATATGAGGTTGTGGAACTTTAGGAGTCACATCACTATCACAAACTAGAGCAATTGGTCACTCTGAAGGCATAAACATGTGCCAGTGTCACCCCTTGTCAAACATCAATTCAGCAGAATCGCGCAGAGACTTCTGCCAAAAAAAAAAAAAAAAAGGCCAACAGTCAAAACATGGTTTTTTTTTTTCTATTTTTTTTGTAAATGTGGGTCTATTTAAGCCTCATTTGTTTCGCAGATTTGAATTAAGATGTGACATTTTTTAAAAATTTTTAACTGTAACAAAAAAAATTAAATCTGATATTTTCTGAGAGCTTTTAACTATAGAAATCTAAAATTAAAAACTCAAATCGGTTAAATGAATGAGACCTTAATTCATGTATTTAAAATCGTTATTCTAATTATATTACAGTATTTTTCTCAAATAAAAAATTTAAATAAAAAATCCCCGTCAATAAATTCTCTCACATAATTTAAATTCAAAATTAAAATAATTAATTTAAATACATGAACTAAACGGATCATATATATATTTATATATATAATTTCTCTTTGG